CTCTCGTCGCTATAAGGAGTGGCAGAATCTGGCGCTGGAAGCTACGACGGACGCCCAATCCGAAGAAGTGGAGGTCGAGAATCCGCCGATACCCGCGGTGAAGCGGCCCGAGTATGAAACTCCACGCACAATACTCCAAAGACCGAGGACAACGTTGATCCAGCGCCGGGAAGTCGAGGCGAGTCAGGAGCAAGATATTCCTGACTGCTCACTTTCCGACGAGGCGCCGGCGCCGTCGGACAAGTCGCCGTCGGACAAGCGATCGTTGGATCTAGCGTCTGTCGCAAGCGAAGAGTCGGATCTATCGTTTATCGCTGACGAAGACCCCATGTCGCATGTCGTAATGATCAAGGAGGAGCTAGAAGGTCTCGATCAAGCGACCTCGAATATATGGGCGACCGATCCGCTGGGGGAGCAAACCACGGACAGGGAAAGACCGGGAGAAGAAGATGGCCGAGACGTGATGGAGGATGTCAGCTTGGATCAACCACATTCGAAGGGCGAAGATCAAGGAATATCGCCGGCGGAATGCGGTGGATCAGATCTGCCAACAATGATGAGTGTACGGCCTCGTACAGGACACGCGACTCGTGATCCATTGGATGATAAGTGCACCACGTCTATATCGCAGAAAACGGACATGGATCCATCACCTGTTGTGGAAGATCAACCAGGCACATCGGATCTGGATCTTACCTGGGACTCAGATCAAGATTATGATGAATGCGTGTATTACCATGAAGGAAGTGATCTATACGCAGAAGATGTCGATGGTCAGATGGCGGTGTTGCCCGAAGTGCCTGTCACGACGGAGGGCGTGAAGATCGACGATATTCAACTGTGTGGATCTGATAGTCAAACTCCAGAAGAGATCGGGCGACTTCGCCAAAAGATTTGGAAGTTCCGACACCTCTTGATCGGGAGAGGAAACGCCCTCCCGCCGGCCGCTAGAGGCGTGGTGTGCGATATCGACGTCGGAGGGGCGAGACCCTTCGCCCTCAAGTGTCGTAAGTTGTGGATCCAGTTCAGAGAAAAGCTGGCAGACCTGATCAAGGGTCTATTGTCCGCCAAGATGATCAACTATTCCAGATCACCATGGGCTTCCCCCATCGTGGTGATTATTAAGAAGAATGGGGTGGACATCAGGCTATGTATCGATTATCGGTTGGTTAACAGTCTGACACAGCTGATAGCGTACCCAATGCCCTTGATCAACGATCTGCTCGAGGACCTGTAGTCGACACTTTGGTATTGTTCTCTGGACATGGCAAGTGGATTCTGGGTAGTGAAAATGACGGATCGTGCTCGTTTGATCTCGGCTTTTGTCACTCCTTTTGGACTATTTGAGTGGAATCGAATGCCTTTTGGCCTGAAGAATGCGCCCCAGAT